CTTTCATTTTCCTCTTATGAAAGGGAATTGGTCGAAATAATATGCTGCCTTTCAGCCAGCTAAAACTGATCTGACTCACTTTATTCGTAGGGAAATGCAGGATTCACAGAGTGGACATTTTTACTGAGGTAAATAAGCCCTCTCAACTGATGAGCACTATTATACTAATACCAAAGGAAACAAAGGCCAGAAGATGGGGGGCATTAAGTAGAGAGGCAAACAGAAAAATAGCAGAGAAAAAAAAAATCCAGCATGGGGACAAAGCAGGCTTTGCAACACTGAAAAAATAAGGGAAAATCCTTTAAGAGAAAATTGCATGCAATTTTTTTGGCCTCAATTAGCCTTTTCCACAAAGAGCACTTTTCCACAAATAGCCCATTAAATAGCAAATGAAATTACATCGGTTTTCAGTTGCCATGGCATTGGTTTTTCCTTTAATGGACTTCTCTGGTCCTGAGTTTGTTAGTCTGACTTATTTTTCTTGTCTTTGTGCTTTCTCACCTCCTTCTGTCCAGCCACAAAGTGATGTATGTGACTTCTCCTCAAAATGCCTGCAACATAATCCAAGAGAGAAAAATTCATCCCTCAGTGATCTCTCCAGAGACCAAGAGGGTAAAACTGACCAACGGCAGCATTTCTTTAACTATGAGCATAACAGTTTCCATTTATTAGATGGCAGCAGTTCCATGCAATCCAGGCTCCTGGAGTCATTCCCAGATCAGTCAGAGACCATTTATTGGTCTTACTGACTTACTTCCTATTGTACTGAGTACTTCCTCTGTGCCAAGCACTGTCCATGAGGCTGAAGACATAAAAATGCAAAAGGAAGGATGCAAGATGCTCACAGTCTCATAGAGTTTCCAGACTAAGAGACTTCCAAGCACTTACCTTCTTCTCAATATTTCTCGAGAAGGTTTATGACTACCTTTTAATTGTATGATCTGTTTGTCACACAGACGTTGAACACTTGCTTTCTCTAAATCATCTTTCTTTCTTTATGGCTTCAGCCTTTGATGCCATAGCCCTAAAGAATATGTTATGTGTACCTTTAATCTACCCTTCTTTGACTGTTATCAGCCTCATTCATTCGTGTCAGTTTACAGGCCTCCCTCTAGCCCTTTTCTTCTTCCAATATCCAAGTAGTGTCCCTCTATGCAGAGGAATAAAGAAGATGGACAATAACCACATCCTCTGGGAAAGGCGTGTGGTACGGCATCTGAGGAGTCACAGGGTTGGCAGCCCTCTGTTGGTCTGTGGCTGATGAAGCCACGTGAAAAGGCAATGAGATAAAAGTCAACAATTAAATATATGACATCTTAAATTTATAGAAATTAAAAAAATAAAAAGTCTAAAGTTTAAGTTAATTAAAATAAAAATAAGAACTAAAAAAACAAATATATAAGTGAATGTGAAAGGTGGTCATGGCTGCATGAGGTCAGGTGAGTAGAAAAGCTCTAGCTGATGCCTGCTCCCCTCCACACACCTCTGCATTCCGTCCTTCCTCCCAGGGCAGTCCAGAAGGAGAATAAGCCAGGCTGATTTTTTCCCCTGAATTCTCACAGTTTGAGAAGACCATGGCAGCTTTCAGCTTGTTCTTCTATTCTTCCGCTGTGACCTTTCCGTACCTTCCCCTGTTTCATCAAAATTTTCACCCTTTCTGCTCTCGTTTATTGACAGATGACTGCCTCATACACTCCTGAAGGGGAAAATCTGTTTGATATGAACTCCCTTGTCTTACCACCATCTAATCTCTAAATGCTCTGGCATTTAAAGCCATCTTTTACTTTGGCCCATCAGTTAAAAATGAGGATTTCATCTCATTTCAAGTTCTCTAAGATTTAGACCACTCAGTTTTCCTATCTCATGCATCTCCAACTGTTTCTTTTTCTATAAGTAATTTCCTTCAGCACACAATTTTCCTTACCTCCAACTGCAGATAATACTCTCCTGTGACACCCTACCCCTGACCCTCTTTAGCAGTCATACTATTCTTATGCTCACATTTGCAGACCAACTTCTGTTAAAATTGTCTACATGTGCCATCTCTAGTTTCTAACCTCCCATTCACACCTTATACTGTTCTAATCTGGCTTCTAGTTTTTCTATTAACTCTGTCACTTAAATACTGAACATCTAATTAAACTTCTCCATAGTTATCAATACAGCTGACCACTCCCTCCCTGAACCTACTTCTTTCTTAGTTCCTGTGATAGCAAAAATGCTCTTGGATTATCTCCAGTCTCACTGATCAATCCATTTCACTCTCCTTTATTGTCTCCTCTCCATCCTCCTAACTTCAAACTAGAACAGTTTATCGGGGCTTGGTCCTAATTTCCCTTTTCTCTCTCTACACCCTTTATCCATGTAATTCATTGATTTCCTTGGCTTCAAATACAGTTTATATAGGCCAATGATTCCTACACTTACAGCTTTAGTATGGAGCTCTCTTCTGAAATCTTGATTACTGCCTTTGATGTCTCAAAGAGATCTGAAATTTCCCATCTTTAAAACAGATGTAGGACTCACTGATTTTGAGACTTAATATAAAACTACAGCAATCAAGTAAGAGGGGCATCAGCAAACTATAAATATATAACTCAATGGACCCACCCTATTTGGCCAATTGATTTTTGACAAAGATATTAAGGCAATTCAATGGTGAAAGAATAGCCTTTTCAATAATGATGTTGGAACAAAGGGGCATCTTTATATGAAAAAGATGAAACTCAACCTGTACCTTATACCATCTACAAAAACTAATTCAAAATTAATCAAAGACTTTAATGTTGAACCTGAAATTATAAAACTTCTAGAAGAAATCATAGCAGAAAATCTTTGTTACTTGAGTTAGTCAGAGATTTCTTAGAACACAAAAAGCATAAACCATATGAGATAAAAATTAATAAACTGAATTTATCAAAATTAAGTACTTCTGCTCTTCTAAAGACACTGTTAGGAAAATGAAAAGTCAAAGAATGAATAAAAATATTTAAAACCATGTATCTGATAAAGGACTAGTATCCAGAATATATAAAGAATTCTTACAAATCAATAGTAAGAAAATGACCTATTTATTAAAAAAAGGAGCAAAAGATAAAAACAGATATTTTGCCAAAGTGATTATATAGCTAGCAAATAAATATAGGAAAACATATTCAATATCCTTAGTTATTAGGGGAATTCAAATTAAAATCATAAGATACTATATATATTTATTCCAATACCTAAAATAGATTTTTTTAAATCTGATATTATCAAGTTCTGGAAAGCATGGAGAACAACTGAACTCATTCATTGCTGGTGGGAATGGAAAATGGTACAACCACTTTGAAAAACAGTTTGACAGTTTCTGTAAATTCACCATGTAACCCATTCCCACTTGTGGATATTTATCCAAGAGAAATGAAAACATATCCACCCAAAACCTATATGTAAATGTTTATGTCAGCTTTTTTCAATAATTGCCAAAGACTAGAAACAATCCAAATACCCCTCTACTGGCGAGTGGATAAATTGTGTTACATTTATGTAAGGAATAGTACACAGCAATAAAAAGGTCTAATTTAGACCTAAGTGAGTGTAACCACTTGGGAAAATCTCAAATGCATTATCCTAAGTGGAAGAATCCAAACTTAAAATCTACCTATTGTAAAACTTAATTTATATGACATTCTGAAAAAGACAAAATTATAGGGGAAGAAACCAGATCAGTGGTTCCTGGACATGAGAGTAGAGTAAGGGGATTAACTACAAAGGGCATCAGCCACTTTTGGGGATGATTGTATATGTTTTTTTAAAATAGTGAATTTTATGATGTATACATTATGCCTCTATAAATCTTACTTTTGAATTAACAGTCTTTCCCACATATATGCTTCTTCCTCAACTCTTCTCATCTTAAACATGGCATCCCTATTCACCCATTTTCTAAAGCCAGAAGCTTTGTAGTGTTACTTGGAACTCCCTTTCTCTCTTCATACCCCCCACCCATACCCAAACTATCTCCAAAATATCTAAAATATACTGCAAACCCATTCTCTAATCTTACTGTCCAGTGTGTCCCTTAGGCAATTCACCATCCCTTCTCACCTCTACTTTTGCAACAGCTTCCCTGTTGTTCTTCCTGTTTCCATTCTTGGACTACTCCAAACCAACTTCGGCGTAACTCCAGAACCATGATTTTAAGCGAAAGCTAAACCATGTCATTCATTGCCTTGCTTAAAACTTCAGTTTAGAATACTCCATTTCTAAACCCCATGCCTTGGACCCCAGTGAGCTATATAGTCCTGTGGCACACCCATCTACCCTCTTATCTCTCCCAGCACACCCCACACCCATGATACTCTGGCCACACCGACCTTCCATTTGTTGAAGAGTCTGAGCTTTTTGGTCCATTAGCAACTTTGCACATGATAGTTCCTATACCTAGAATTTTCTTCTTCTTAGCTCCTTTTTGTAATGGCCGGTTCTCTCTCATTCTTATAATTTCAGCTTACCATATCATATCTAGAGAAATCGCTATATATTTTATAACAGTTCACTCCTGACATGCTCTTTCATAACACCTTGTTTTGCTCTTTTCCCAATTTACAATGATACATTTATGAACTTATTTTTCTAATAATTGTCTCCTCTATTAGAATATAAGCTCCTTTAGGGTGAAAACTATTTTCTCTTTTCACTTAGCACATTACCTGACATGATATAGGAGCCAAATAAATATTTGTTTAATTAAGTGTTCAAATTAATGAGCCTCTTATGATTATAAAATTATAAAATTTCAATGTGATCACCACTGAATGACCTGGGAAAACATCTATATATACAGTGACATAGTTATAGAGTTATATAACTCTTTATATATACATAAATGTATATATACGTGTATTTTTTAGGGCCCCTGAACAGGGCTTACACTGTCTGTACTAGGTAAAAATCATCAAGTTTCAAAACCATGAGTGTACAGGTAGATGCCGATGTCTGCCACCAGAAAGTCTTACCTCTCCAAACCAATTGCTTGGCACAGAGAATGGAGCTTGGAGTTGTACAGAAGTGTAAAGCTGTGTGTCCACTTAAGGAGAAGCAGTTGAGCTTGGCTCCATGGTCACAGAGGATCTTAACACAGTCCAAGTTGGCCATTTCACAAGCTACATGCAGAGGAGTTTTCCCGTTGGGTCTACAGTTGATTGTAGCATTGTGGTCCAGTAGCACCAGAAGACATTCCACGTGATTGAACAAGACAGAGAGATGCAGACCCGTTGCCCAGGAAGACTTCAATTTGTAACTAGGCAACCAATAACCTTAAAAAAAAAAGGAAAATAGTTCAACTTCTTAGCCAAGGATTTCTCCCTGTTTTACAAAGTATTTTACTTTGGTGGCATTTATAAAATTGAAAAGGAGATGATTCAAAAGCTGTAAACTAGTAGCTGATGGATCTGCAAATGTTTAGTTTAGTAGCATATTTGGACATAGTTAAGCAAGACAGGCAGTCTCAAGTTCTCACTGTACCCACTGTTCTCTGTTGGCTTATTCCTTTATTTTCTTTACGTCCCTGGTTCTCCAAGGCATTTGAGTTTGAGACCTGCATTTTGTGATTGCATTTTATCTTACATAGTGATTTCCATGAGACTCTTATTAAACAATTTTTTAACTTCCAATACTGTCTTGAATGATTCCAAAGCCGTTGGTTACAAGCTTATCTTTTTATTCCATCACAGTTCTTTTCCCCTATAGTTGTTACTCTGTCAAAGTATGAATATATTTGATGTCCTTAAAAATTTGTCATTTGCTTGCCTGATGGTCTAAATAATAACTCTTTCCAAAGAAGATTAAAGGCAACTCATAAATTTTACACAATACAGGATTTTTTAATGATCTAGAAAATATGGTCAAAGAAAAAAATAAAATAGGAAAATAAAAAGAGGTCAAGGGTAAGATAGGTACCATAAAGTATAAACTGTGTCCTGTACACTAGAACCACATTACAAATTTGCCTTTGAACTTCCTAACAGCCAAAATAAATAGGAAAATATTTTGTGCCGCACAATCAATTATGTCCACAAACTATACACACATTAATTAGTCAGGAGTATAATTGTTCCTAGAACTGAGATCCTAGATAAAATTATCCCATTAGTTATTGGAAATGCACACTCTCTCTCTCTCCTCTCCTTTTTCCGTCTGACCTCGGACTCTAAATACTGAGCTAGTCCTCTTTATCCAAGTCTCCAACGATTGCCGTATTTGATAAGCTATAACAAAGATAACTTTATAAATCTTCTTTCAATGTGAGTACGTACAACCATGGCATTAAGTTCACTATGAGTGGGTAATGGACTAGAGGAACAGAAATATGAAATATTTGTGGCAAGATAAAGATGTAGTGATAGCTCAACAGCTTAGAAGAAACTCCAGGGCTGAAACAACAAAGCAAATTTTAACATGAATAGATCAGAAGTTTGCTTTTAGGTTATAAAAATTCCACTATACAAGTACAAGGTAAGCAGAATACGGTTTAATAGTAATTTATTTGAGAAAAGACCTAGGTATTTGAATTAGCATTAATCTCAAAAAGAGCCAACAGTGGGATGGAGCTGCCAAAAAACTAATACAATCTTAAGCTGCATTAATACAAGTGCGGTGCCCAGAACAAGAGATGTCAAAGTTACATTCTTCACTGATCAGATGAGGTCAGAATAAATCTAGGATATTGTAAATACTTCTGGGCACAGATGATGAGCAGCTGGAGGACACTCAGAGGATGATAACCACATGGGCCTGGTGATCAGGTATTCAAAGTTTCTCATTTTAGTGGAAAACACTCCATATGCGCCACTCTTAGATATAAGAGTAATCACTCACGTGAAATGCCCTATATTGGTCCCTGTATTGCACAATTCCCAGGAACACCATTTGCACTGAACCCTTTGTGAAGAGTAAGAAGTTCCTGGGAGTTAGGAATCCTGTCAACCTGCCTATGGACAAAAACATGTACTACACTACAGCTTTGTTCTAATGGTTAATGATTGGAACAACCATAGTCTTCATCAATAGGCTGTTTAAATAAATAATGGTACATCCATATAATTGAATACCAGGCAGCCATTATAAAGAAAGAGGTAATTCTATGTATACTGATATGGAAAAGTCTCAAGATGTATTAGTGAGCAAGAGAAGCAGGGAGCTGAACAGTGTGCATAAAATGTTATCATAATATGCAAATATATTTATATACAGTTTAAAATAAGAAACTGATTGCAATGGTTGGCTTCAAGAACTGAAGACTGGGGACAGGGACATAGATATATCCTTGAATGCTCCCTTTGAGGTTTTAAATTTAGTACTTTGTCCAAGTATTACTATTTATAAAAATAAGTAAAATTAAAATAAACTCTTGTCCCTGACCATGGGGGAAAAAATGAAGAGGTCTTTTATAGTGTCACACACAGTGCTGATTAATCTGGAGGGAATGAATGAGTCTATATTTAGCTATGTACATTGAATCTGTCTTCCAAGAAGAGCTTTTAAGCTATATTATTTGCAACCTGCTTTTGAAAATGAATGCATCACATTAACACCAATAATTAATCAGTCATTTAAGTACTCAAATTTCTTCAACGAGTCATTTGCAAAGACAATCTCTTCTGTCTTGGAAAGAAGTTGCTTCCAGATCTGTGTGTTCTGCCTGACGATTAGCAGCAAAGATTTGGCAGCTCTGTGCAGCAACTGATTGGAAACTCATGTCTGCCTCTGCAATGGCAAGAAAAATGATCTTGGAAAGGAAGCGGTAGAGAGCTGATTAAGAAAACACCATCTTGATGTAAAATCAAAGAAACACAGAATGCTAGCGCTGTAGGGAAGATTATCCAGTCCAAGCCTTCCATTTTCCAGATGAGAAAACTCCCACTTTCTTAGTCTGCAAGAGCACTAAGTCGCCTGCCTCAGTCCCAGGCTAACGAACTCAGGATATCTGCAGTGCGGGGTTTCCTTCTGTCTTTGGCTTTGTGGAAGCAGAGAAGGTTTAGCACCAGGCCTGTTTCACAAATCATGAGGAAGGAAAGAAGACCCCCAATTCATCTATAATATGTCACATCTCTGATATGGAAATGCAGTTGCTTGTTGATTTTTTTCTTCCTTCCAAATTCCTAGCAGCATCTGGAGACTCTATTCTGCCCGTTCATTACATGAATGAGTCATCCTCTGCCTCCAGTCAGCTCCGCCTGCGTCTCCTAGAATCACAATCATTAAACGGTAAATGGAGCTCGGAGACCGCCAGGTTGTGGAATTCAGCCAACTGCCTGAATGGAGCTGTGCCTACCCCTCCCCTCTCCTCAATGAGAACGCACGTAGGTAGGTGGCAATCGGATACCTCAGCTGGCGTCCCTAGGAGCTGAGTGAGAAGTAGGAAGAGGACAGATCGTCGCCTCTGGATCAGGGTCTACGCAAGTGTACCTTGACTCTATGCTGCGGACCTTTGGAGGTGGTGTCGGGGGAGGAGCTCCTGGATAATGCAGCCCTGGGCACATCAGGAAAGCCTGCTGTAGAGAAAGGAGCAGCCCGCAGCAGAGAGGTCGCCCACCTTAGAAGGAGGCCGCTGCTACAGGTCACTTTGTACCAGGTGTGGAAAGGTCACCTGCTCCTCGCTGAGGACCAAACCCGAGGTGAAGCCATCCTCAAAGCTCACTGGGATGCAGTGCCCGTTAACATGCTTGTGCACTTGTTGACATGTCAAGATATCAGAATTTGTCCCCCAAAATATAACCACCAACAGTCATAGCATGGCAGAAATACAGTTAACTAATCAAGCAGATTCACTTTTTACTCTCTCTTCTTTCCAAGGCAGAAATGTCCTAGGACTCAGAAACTAGAATGTGATTTATTCTCAGCATTTGCCTTTCCAAGGGCCCCCTCTGCGCACCTCTGCAGATGCCAGGCTGCCCCTTGACTGTGTGCTCAAACTACACAAAGGACAGGGGTGGAGCAAAGCCCTTGCGGGGCGGGCGAAGAAGCCTCTGCCTCCTGCTCCCATAAACCCCTTGCATTCTCGCCCCTGGTGCGCAGTCTGTGTGCTGGGCCGGTTCTTTGCAGGAGAGCCCTGCTGGAGCAAGGAGCTTCACTGAGAAGAGAAGAAAACACTGATTCTTTCTCTTATGCAAAAATCCCACAGAAAACTCAAATAGAGGCCATGCCCATGTGGATTTACAGTACCTACAGTTACTTTTTACCTTCCCTAGATCATGACACATAATCTGTTAATATACTTTCCCCTTTGTAACATTGTAGATTATCAGCATGCAGGTGATTTAGAGGGTATCTTAGCAAAGTCTCCACTTTACAGATGAGGAATAAATATCTTGTAGAGGTTAAGTAGCATCAAGTGCCCATGCTTACGGAACTAGTACTGACAGAGGTCAACTCAAATACTGGTCTCCCCAAATCTTTATAGAACCATCAGTGATCTGAAAGCTACATACCATTCACTTCCAACCCAGTATCACTGGTAGGCAAAAGTTCTAAAGGGATTTTGGAAGTTTTAAGCTCACAAAAATATGCAGACAAATCCTCTGTGTGTGTGTGTGTATGTGTGTGTGTGTGTGTGTGTGTGTGCGCGTGTGTATGTTCAGCTTAAAACTGAAATCAAAGAAATGTACCGGGTAGAAATGTACTGAGCCTCTTGGCTCAGGAAATAAGGTAAGGAGCAAGGTGTTTGGGCATCTTTTGGAAGAGAGGATTGATTCTGCTTCAGCATTCAGGGGGCAGACAAGTCTCTGGGAAACCTTCAGCTAAACTTCGGCTCCACAACAGTTATCAGCTATAGCGTTGTCTGAGTCCAAAAACCCCACACACGAGAAGCCTCTGTTATCACAGCCAAAGGTTACACACACAGCTCATGGCTGGATGAGCAGACATTTGCTCTGCCCATGTCCACGTATTTACATAGTTCTGAAGGATTATAGACGGAAGCACAATTCTTGGCTATTTTTTAATAGCTAATATTTTCAGGATAAATCTCAGACGTTCCCCAAGAGAGGGGGAGAAAAGTAAGTTTGAAATGTAAAATTTAAAAGAGAAAAGTTTGAACATCAAGGAAGGAGAAAGAACCCTAGTTAATTGAAAAGCAGGAGAGTGAATGTCTGGCAAAGAGAAAAATGAAGTGATAAAAGAGATTATGCATTAAGAGAGTAGAAAAAAGAGCTTTCAAGATATTTGGATGGCAGTTGCTACTTGGTAAAGTAGACAGAGTACCTGCCAGAAAGTTTCCCAGTGGAATCACTCTTTGGTTATTTTAATTAAAAATATGACTACCCACCAAAGAACTTGTGGCTGTGGGCCATAAACGAAGTCCTTAAAGTGCATTACACTGATTAATTAAAAAGACTCTGATCAACCTTGGTGATGAGGGAATTTCATACCAAAGAGATAAGTATGATATTCTGCCTTATCATGAATGAGCCAAGTCTCATATATTTGAGAGAGAAGTGAAATGTGTGGCTGGACAAACCTTTGGAAAGAGCTGTTTGGATGTTCATGTTTCCAGTATGGAAATCCCTAGTGAGAACCAATATGACAGCTTTGAGTTTTCTTGGAGTCCCTGCTTTCACTCTCAATACTGTATGCTTGGCCCACAATAAACTTCATGTCATTGATGTCACTCGACTATTCAGCTACTTACTGAATTTGGCATTTAAAGAGTTGCTCATGTATTTAACTTTTCTTCATGTCATTCCCATTTTAAAGGAGTCATCTGCTGGATGTAATTTTGTTTACTTGTTTTTGCCTTTAAAAGACCACATCTCTGTCATTCTCTAGGAAATATCTTAACTGCCAACCAGAAGGTTTTTAATGGTTGTTTTACAAAGTTTGGGAGGAGACTTTTCTTAATTTATGAAACATGATATTATCTAAAGGTTTTATTATGCGGTTGAAGATAACTTGAAAAATAAAATGAGATCTCTCTAACTTTAAGAATCATTATTGGGTGCTGCAGCTAGGCAGGAACCTGAACTCTGGAAGCTGGCTTCTAAATCTGTTCTCTGTCCCATGGGTAAGAGAAGCTACTCAGTGATATTGGGAAGTAAAAATGAATTTCAGATGCTTTGTTTTGCCTTACTCACAAAATCCACATTTCATATTTTCTTAGGCGGTCAGTGTTCTACTATTGGTGTACTGATTTAGGGGAGCAATGTTTAGATCCCAAGTTGATTTATTCACTAACAGAGTTCTGAGTTGCCTTTCCAAAAACTGTAAACTGACTTTTATACAGACTTAGACATACAATATTTAGGGAAAAGATGTGGTCACTTTTTGAAATCCTATGAGAAACACTGAAATGTCCAGAAAGAAATAGAAATGGTTAGATAATAATCATACTACTGTTGATCTTGCTCAGGACAATCAGATGTTGAATATAGATTATGTTATTAATTATACAAGCAAATTTAAAGGTAACATGGTATCTGTTACTAGGTTTTACACAGTGTTGCTTATTAAACTAAAAATAGCTGAAACCTGAAAATTCCCATACTTTAAAAGTATACATGTAGTCATTTGCAACAACATGGACGGAGCTAGAGGGTATTATGCTCAGAGAAGTAAGTCAGGCAGATAAAGACAAATAGCAAATGATTTCCCTCATTTGAGGAGTATAAAAACAAAGCAAAACTGAAGGAACAAAACAGCAGCAGACTCACAGACTCCAAGAGACTAGCGGTTACCAAAGGGGAGGGGTAGAGGAGGGTGGGTGGGAAGGGAGGGAGAAGGGGATTGAGGGGTATTGTGATTAGCACACCTGGTGTGTATTTAGGGTCATGGAGAAGACAGTGTATCACAGAGAAGACAAGTAGTGACTCTGTGGCATCTTACTACACTGCTGGACAGTGACAGCAATGGGGTATGGGGGGAACTTGATAATATGGGTGAATGTAGCAACCATATTGTTTTTCTTGTGAAACCTTCATAAGAGTGTATATAAATGATACCTTAATATATATATATATTTATGTGTGTGTGTATATATATGTATATATATATACACACACACACAAATATATTCACCCAGATGTACCATCGGCAAGTTTGGGAATTATTTTAAGTGAATATAACAGAAACTAAGCAAATGAAAGAACAATATATTTATATACTCCAGGAAAAATAAAAAGTTGTTTCAAGAAAGAAAATAAAAGTATACACATAGTGTTCTGTTTCATCATCTGGATGCTGGTTACATAGGTTTGTTATTTTGTGAAAATTAAGCTGCACATTTATGATTTGTACACTTTTCTATATACAGCTTTTCAGAAGTGCTTTAAAAACATAAAAACTGCTGCACAGCAACTCAACATCCATGAAGTCTGCTGTGATTTCATAAAGTGTCACAAAGTTTAATTCAGACACGTAGCCTTCAAGGCCACATAGAAAAGGGTCTCATTCCTTAGAATTATTCAGAAACTAACTCTAACTAACTAAATAACTAATCAACCAGCCAGTGTCACCTCCTCAGCTCTACACTGTTTCTTGAGAATTACTTTGTGACTTAAGAAATTGATATAACCACTTAGATCTACTGCACTTAGCTAGCAACTAGAATTTTATTTATCACCTCCATCCTTGACTGAACTCTTAAAATCTTGATAATTAGGCTGGAAGACATGCAAAAAATTTGAAGAAACTAAAGGAAGATGAGGATTAATCTGGGTTTAAGACTGAAAGAGATTCTTAATCCCATATTCATATTAAACAGAGAGTAAGTATATTTCTTTCTACACACACACAAATTTCCTGCATAAACCCTAAAGATATGACTACAAATCCTATTATTTCTGTGCATACATCCACCTAGCATGGTAAGAATATGGAACTGTTCCTTTTCTTTTCCTTTTCCAGAGAGTATAATTTGCTGTCTTCCTAATGGAAAGACACATCCCCCAGTTCTAACACTAGGAAAACACCCATAGTGTGAATGAAAATTTTGCTCCATGAGGATCATAAAAGAGAGTTCATATTGATAGAAAGAATTTAAAATGCAGTTTCTTCTCATTCAGGGGTGATGACACCACTGGATCGAGAAGAAACCACATCCATCTCCCCTCGAGCTTGCTCCTAAAACTTTCTTTCTCACAACTTCAGAACCTTTGCATAATCTGTGCGATTTTATGTGCTCAGAAGTTAGAAAGAAAGAGAAAAATAGAGAAAGAGAAAAAGACAGAAAGACAAGAAAGAAAGAAAGAAAGAAAGAAAGAAAGAAAGAAAGAAAGAAAGAAAGAAAGGAAGGAAGGAAGGAAGGAAGGAAGGAAGGAAGGAAGGAAGGAAGGAAGGAAGGAAGGAAGGAAGGAAGAAAAAGAAAAAGAAAAAGGAAGGGAGGAAAGGAAGGAAGAAAGGGAAAAAGAAAAAGAAAAAGAAAGAAAGAAAAAGAAGAAAAGGCAGTCTCCACAATTCAGTCGAATAAATGGCCCACTGACTTGGATCTGAGTTATTTTACATTGGGCACAAAGTTTAAAAAAAAATAAAATAATGCATTTACCACTCAGATATTCACTCACTGAGCAAATCTATAAGATGAAAGTAATAGTATATATACTCTTTCTTTTTTAACAGAGCCCGGCATCAACTACTTTTTTGAAAAGCAGCACTCTTCTTTATCTTCCAGTCAAAACAGCAAAGCCAATGTATTATAAGTCCTCAAGTAAAAATCATAAGCACAGTAACTGGTCTTAATACTCTAGCCTTCAGAACTGACAATCAAAGTATAGTAAATTAATGCAGAAGTATATGCCATTAGCCTTAGTTCCTGAAAATTGATGGCACGATGATTTTATATATGAATGGAAAGTATTTTAACATGAACAAAGCACTACTCTCTGTCTAAATGCTGTACACACGACCTTATTATCTATTTTGTTTAAACAGAGGCAGTTGAACATGGTGTTTGTTTGCAGTCCGCTCACCAGATGGCCTCGCTGCTCAAGGTCGCCCATTAACTAGCTGATTTGGGAAATCAGAATCTGAGGCTTCCGATTTATTAAGCATGGGTTCCAGAAAATCCCTTGATTTGAAAGACTCTTTCCTAATTTTTGTTATCTTAGTTCTTATAAGGCAGGTATTCTGTGTTAAGTATATCTACAATTTTGATCTATTACTGTAGTCAAGGAAAATAGTTAACTTTTTGGGTTTGTCTGCTTCTAGCTTTTGTGCCTGAACTGAAAACTCATTTAAAAAAATGAGGACTATCAAGGTGTATTAAGACAGATTTACTCATTCACTAACGCTCCAGACGGGAGCAAAAAAAAAAAAAAATCATCTTTTTTCCAATCCTCTAGATGAACATAGAGATGATATATCTTTAAGTGGCAATGTTAACAGAGTTAGCAGCCTGTCCCCAAGCTAGTCACAATGTCTCAATTCAGTCTGTTCAGCCATAACCTAGAGATGTTTTCTTTATTCTACATCATTATAGGCAGAAGAAAAGTTAGAAATAGAAGAAAAGCACATTACTAAATATGGTTGTCCAGGATTTCAAATTCCAAACATAGGGATAGGGAAGGAAAGAAAAAAAAAAGGAGAAGAAAAGAAAGAACATACATGTGTATCAGCCCATCATGCGGTCCCATTTAAAAAGAAAGAAAAAAATTAAGTTCGAAATACATTTAAAATATATACTTAATAAGAGCTACTGGTTTAGAGTGGTAATGGACAGTGTGCATTAAAAAAGTCCATTTTTTATCAATCCTACAATTAACACTTATAATTTTTACCTTGTTTATAAGATGCCAAAACCATATTCTCATCTTCAACTTCAAAAACTGTGTCCACATCTATTTGCCTTTGAATTAAAATGTCCTTCAATTTTCCGAAGTCATTTGACTTTAAAGCTTCAAGGAAATTTCTCTTAAGTAACTTGGCAGCCGCAGACTTAGTGACCGGGGTGTCATCGTCGTCCATACTTTCCCTCCCTCTGGAAGCTGTGTTGGGATTTATCAGGAGAGCAGCACTAAGCGAACGGGCATATGCTGGATAGCCCACAAACTGCCGGCTAATTTTATCCCAAAGTTATGCTGATCCGGTCTATTTATATAGGGATCATTTCAAACTTCAAAATATCCTTCTTGGCTGCCACTGCATTTTCAGGTCCTTTGGTTCTCTAACTGATTCATTGACTAATATATCGTGTCATATGAAGGATAACCCTCGCGATACACTTCAGAGAAAGAAATGTCGCTATTGCTTCTTGTATGATCAAAGTAATTGTGTAAAATTTAAAAGCTCTTAATGGTTTTTTTTTTCCTCAATGAAAACATCTGGTGTCCAACTGGAGGTCTAGTGTCTTGCTCTGATTAATCAACAGCCAAAAATAAAAAGTTATTACAGTCGCTTATACACGTGCTTCTGAAAACATGTAATAATTTTGTAATGTGAGCCTGTAAAATCAAGCATAGTCATTCACATTTGAAAACAAACAGGTTTTCAAGTGACCCAGACTCGAAAAACTTCAATGTCATGAAAGAAAGTGGGGTGGAATGACGGTGGCTAGGGACTGTTTTAGGTATAAAGAGACTAAAGTGACAAATAGCTAAATACAATGAATGAACTTTATTTAATCCAGCATTTTTCAAAAAATCAGAAAAGACTATATAGGGACTAATTGGGGAAATAAGAATAAATATATATATATATTAAACTTGATAATATGGAATTACTGTCAATTTTTAAAGGTGTAGTAAATGTATTGTGGTTCTGTAGAAGAATATTCTTTATCTTAATAGATGAATTAAGGGGTAAATTGTCATGATGTTTAAGACTTCTTTATAAATAGTTCATTTAAAAAAAAACCAAAATGTCTATATATGCACATATATGTAGATATATACAAGTGTGTGTGTGTAAATAGAGACAGAAAGAAAAAGTAAATGTGACAAAAGTTAAAAGCTGGAAACTCTAATAAAGGATCTAAGGGTATCCATTAAGTTATTCTCTCAGCTTTTCTGTAAGTCTGATTTTCTCAAATAAAAAGTTAGAGAAAAATTAATACTCAATTTTTAAATTTATAAATAGTAAAAATTAGAAAAATGATCATAATAAATATTAATCTGGATGCAAAGAAATCACATTGCTGGTGGGAGTATATTGTTAGTAGAAGTCAAAACTGGTGCAAATTTTTTGCAGAATAATTGGCAATATGAATTTCAAAAATCTTAAAGTGATAATAGTATTTGATTCTTACAATTTATATAAGGTTGTAAACATGGATGCAAATCATAACGTAAGTTTTTAACTTATTTCATCAATGTGTAACATGAATACAGAAAAGCAGAAAGTGACAAGTCATAAGTATATAGCTTATCAAACTTTTACAAAGTGAACATACCTGTGTAACTCTCCAGGTGAAACCACAGAATAGCTCAAGAACATCTGAAACTCCTTTTATGTCCCCTTCCAATCAAAACACTCCCCTAACTCTCAATAACAGCACAGCTGTTATTGTGATTTCTAATACTATAGATTGGTTTTGTTGTTTTTAAATATTTAATTTTTTTAATATTCTTAATTTTTAAATTTTCAGGAAGATAAAATTTTAAGCTGACCATAGAGTAAAATATTTGACCTGAAAAGAGTATGAATATATGAATAAAAATGTATATGTGGTTAATTATTGTTAATTATATTGTTAATTATAATAATATATTTGGAAGCAATCTAAATGACCAACAGTGGAAAATTTGATAAACAGACTATGGCATATCTGTATAATGGAATACCCTTCAGTCATTATGCCTAGGTAGAAGTCATATGCTTAGGTATGCCTAAGAAATCTGTATTTATTAAAAAATATCTGTGAGACAAGCAATTTATAAAATAGTATGTTTAGTGTAAGTATCTTTTCAAAGTATTTGTACTTATATAATGTACAAATATATATTTGATGTAATTTGTGTAATTGTATATGCTTACATAATTTGTGTAGAGTTATATGATGCACAAATATATGTATAAATATGTGTATGTAAACATATATATAAATATATGAGTATATGCACACATAGGAAGAAAAGTCTGCAAGCATGTATTCCAAATATCATCAGCTTTTATCTCTTCATGGTAAGATAACATTTGATTTTTTCTTAATCTCTTTCTTATTTTCTGAATTTATCTGCAATGAGCATATATTACATTTGTAATAAAAAGATACCTCTGAATATGTGTGACAAATTAATGAGGATACCTTGTTAACTCAGAATAACTACAAATTATAGACACCATGAAATAAGGAACTGAATCATTCTCACATCCTCTCATGTCCTCAGTGCCCAGCATGAATGAATGAATGAAGAATGAGTGAGTAAAGAATTAGCACTGATTGCTTACAATTTACAGTTATTTAGCACTGTGCCTGGTAACAAATAAAATGCACTCCTTTAGGCCCATAGGGGTAACTCAAGTAGAAATACAGCATTTATTGATATGTTTTGTCCGTTTTTGACAAAACTAAGAGAAAAAAAACAGTCCAGGTAGAGGAAACAGAGGCAAAAGAGTTCTACATAATTGGAGGACAATTAGTAGTAGGAAAGGCCACCAAAATTGACTCTACTGAAGGTTGAATTTCATAAAATGGAGGAATGGGGTACAGAATTCTTTTTTAGTTCATCTTGAAAATAAAAGCAAGAATTATGGGCAACATTATTTAATCTAATATTGAACATTTAGGTCAACAGCAATTACATATAATCCAGAGAACCACAAAATAAAATGTTTACTATTTTCTGAGAAACATCACTTTTCTGATCCAATTTCATGATGACATGAAGCAACATCCTTTCTTTATAAGTGACTTTTGTCAAATTCATATAAAAAGGACATATATACAAAAGCATTTGAGAGTTTCATCAGTTTTGCCAAGGGTCTCTCTTAATCCTTTGGTATTTCAATGACATTCAAACTCAATGGCTGGAGTTCCCACTGATCAAATCCTCATGTTTTCAAACTTTTCTTACTTGGTTATTAACAGAAAAAGCCCTGCCAAATCCTCATTAGTAAATGGTTTGTATGTGATTTGGGCAGTTCTCCAATATTTTCAACAACTTCATGAAATCTTAGCTCATTTGCAAAATTTGCAATGGACATCAGATAATCAGAGTGAGATAATGGACTGACAGTCAAGGATATGTTCTCACAGCGAAGCACACCACCTTGTGACCTTAGGGACTGAGTTGATAGGCCCCATAATTCTTAATGATAATAAAGTTTTTTTCATTAAGGTATCATTGATATACACTCTTATGAAGGTTTCACATGAAAAACAATGTGGTTACTACATTCACCCATATTATTGAGTCCCCCCACACACCCCATTGCTATCACTGTCCATCAGTGTAGTAAGATGCCACAGAGTAATGGTAATCAACTTACCATTCCAAATTTCACATTTTCTGCTTTCAAGAGTATACAGATGAGTTGAGTGAGGGAGGGGAAAAATAATGAATATTGAGAAGAAAATTAAGATAATACTTAATTAAATCTCACATCCTGTTTCACAAAATGACCCATTCCATTATTGGAAAATTAGGGTCAGAAGTTTCTTTGCTACACTGAGCCAAAATTTGCCGGGTCAAAATTTCTTCCTATTGGGTCTAATTATGAACAGACAATCCCACATGAATTGCTAAATGCTCTCGATGAAGGTCTTTCTAACATTTGAGAGTACCATCATATCTCTCTTCAACCTTTTTTTCCTCAAGTAGTGTCAGTTGCTCCTTATTTTGGGTGGCTTTCTGAATTCTCTTTTCCTATCTGCTCTCTTCTGGATCCTTTCTAGTGTACTGATGAATGCATCTGTCAAATTTTGGTGCCCAAAATGGAACATTCCTAGTGGGAGCTTGACAACTACAGATGTGATGAATGACACAAGGACACTCTGCTTTTGTTGAAATTTGTACTGTGGTTCTTAGGGGACACTGCAAATCTGTCTCATGTTATAGTTTTAATTCTTTCAACAAATACCTATCAGGCACCTACCATGTACAAGAGACTTATGCTGACAGCATTGGAGATATAGCAGTAAGCAAACAAACAAAAATCTCTGCCTAGGAATTTAGCATGCTAATGTATTTAAGTGGTCATGAAAGTCCCCAGATCTTTCCAATCTCTATGTACTAGAATTTGTCACAAAGTTGCAAATTCACTCAATTTCATACAGAAATAATACATAGTGCACCCCTTAAACAATGTGTGGATGAGGGAGACCAAGCCATTGAGCAGTCAAAAACCCATGTATAACTTATGACTTCACAAAAACTTATCTACTAATAGCCTACTGTTAACAGTTGAGTAACACATACTTTGTATGTTATATGTGTTATATATTGGATTCTTATCTTACAATAATGGAAGCTAGAGAAAGAAAACATTTTTTCAAATTTTCACAAATTTCCAAAAAAATTTCCAATGTATTTATTGAAAATATTGATTTGACTTCCCCTTCTGGTTTCTCCACCTTTCTTAGTAGCAAAGGGAGGGACAACATAATTTTAGTCCAACCTGGTATATTTAATCTGATCCAAATATTTAGCAATCTCTTTAAGTAAATGCTTAGTCTTTTTGGATAAAAGTCCCTAATTTGAGAGTTCTGACCCTCTAAATATGAGAAATATGAGATATGTATAGGAGCAGTATTCAAAATACTGATATTTAACAACAGTATCAATTAAAAGAGATTTTGGCGATAAAGAATCAGTGTGGCCAAATCAGGGTATGTCAGGTGAGCATGAGTCGGGGGCAGGAGTCCAGCTTTTATGACGTTATTAGAGGAGTGAGGGTCCTTGTCCTCTGGACCCTTCCCGATCTCCACGGCAGAGTGGCAGAGTGTCTTCTCTAAATTGATTCTATTTGGATGTACTCAGATTTCTGGCTTCTGCCGCCTGATCCTGGTTATTTGTTCCAGATCTTGATGTCCTCACACTTGCATTAGGTTTCAGTCTCAGTGCTCACTTTTAGGAAGAAAATAGTTGTGAAAATCAGGCAGTGTTTTGCCCATGTTAGTCCAGTGTGTACTCAGAAACTCTGTGTCCTCTTCCAAGCATACCACCACACCCTCACACTTCATACAAAGACCATGAAGAACCAGTAGCTGCCTTCCTGCCACCATTTCAGGGCCAGAATGGATGTGGACCTTAACTGAGGGCTGGAGTTCTTCAGGGGGTCCACATTCTC